TACATATTTTTCACTCGTGGACTGTGCTCGAAATTAGAACATATGTTAAATAAGTATTTTTATGTCGCGCTTTCTTTTGTTTCCGAAAAATATTACATTAAGCAATTGAATAAAAAAATTGTAAGTAAAAAAAGTAAATAAAACACACGCAAATATATTTCATAAATATAATATAAATAAAATATAAATATCTCGTTGGTCACAAAGGCAAGCAAAATTCATTTAACAAAGAGAGACATCCTTCACGGTTTAGATTTCTAGACGTGTTTTCCACAAACAGAAAATAATTAGACCAAATGTAATTGCTCATAAAAAGCAATGTTGTGACCTGCATACGTTATAAAATAATAATATTCATATTCACATTTTTAGTTCATAGAGATCTATTTTATAACATCATAATTATACGAGAATTTCATTTTTATTAGAAACGATTCACTTTGAGACCCTATAAAACTTAGTTTCAACTTTGCTATTTTCTTTACTAACAATAAATACATTTATTTCCTTTATATCTACCTTTTTATTTTTGCAGAACCTTTTCCAAAAACATCTGGATAATACAATTTGCATGCGTTAAATTTTGTCCGTAAAAAATTTCAGCATGGTAATCTCTCGAATATTTTTTAACGCATTTTTTGTGCAAAAGCGACACATGTCCAAACACGGCATGATGTAAGCCAGAGATTGGATGTTAAACGATATTCACCACAAAGTACCTAAACTCCGCATCAGAGATTATTCTATAAAACAGCTAATTCACACAACCTTCTGTGATATGCAAATTTGTACAAGGTGCTTCATGAATAAGCACAAAAAAATTTGTTTATATTATGCTCGTATATGTTATCTCTGTTATACATAAAGCGATTCTTTTAGTGATGCACTTCTCACAAATTGTTTGCTCCTTGTTTGATAATTTATATTTGAAAACGACAAAATCATTCTTTGCTTACTATAATTGCAAGATCATATTGAATATTCTATGCAATACACACACGTATGTATACGTTTATTGGGTGCTGTATTTAGCACACTTTGTATATCACATCGATACATCGATTTGGAGAAATTCAATACGACTGGATTTAGTTCGCTTTCCGCTCTAGCCAGTAATATCGTTGGTTAACATTCTATTACTTACGTGTAGAGCAGAATTAAAATTGTAAGAATGTAACAACAGTATGGAGTTGCACTTACCTGAAACAAAAAATTTAAGATATATTAGAAAGATTATTCAATGAAATACAAAATAATGATAAGTTCAAAAATTAAAATAAATTAATACATTAATCCACTACGAAAAATTTAAATAAATTAATAATAATAAATCATAAACATAGTAATAATAAATTCATGTAAGTAGTACTTTAAAAAATTATTAATTTAATCCATTCTTAACAACGTGCAATAAATTAAAATACAGATAAATAATTTTATCTTATTAATTTAATTCCAGCTATCTTCATTTTAATTCCGTTAATACTTCGCGCAGCTGGGCACCCTACTTAAAATTATATTACTAAAAATTAGCATAATGGTTCAACTGTATAAATGAGAAGAAAGCTGTAAAGACTGAAATACTCGACCACTCCAAAAAATCTCGTTTTAATCTAACAACTCGGAAAAGGCACTTTAAAGCTTTCCGGTCTTTACTTCCACCTGAAAGCGCGACATAATGACTTTTTTGCGGTTAAGAAGAAACGGAAAATACCTTTCCCTATCCGTAAAACGTATTAGGTATTAGGTATCCGTAAAACCTTTCCGGTCCCTAATACGTTTTTAGAATACTCATCGAGTGATACCTTAGAGTTTCTTCTAAACACACTCAGAATTCTATCATGAAAGACAAAGCGGTGAACACTCGAGCAAAATGGCGCCACTTTCATGCCTGAATAAGTCTAGCTTGTGTACGATATAAAATCGCTCGAAATTACTCCAGTTTCGTCATTCCAATGGAGTCAAATTACTCTCCGGAGGGATACAAAACACACAGGACAATGTAACTGCAGTTAAAGTAAAGGGATAAGCGAAAATGGTCGCACATCTGTTTTAATAATACGTATAACAATGATAAAGCTACGGATTTTGCTACAGTTACTTGCTCAAACGCGAGTTAATTTCGGGTTACCGCTATAAATTCTAGTGTAATAACTAAAAAATGCTCTTAGGTTTGCTTTCGAAATATTTACGATGTCGTACAAAAGGTTCTTTATGGCATTCAATAGGAAAACGATTTTTAATCTTAATGTCTGAAAAATTGTACTGTTCTGTATTCTTTCTGATATTAAAAATTATTGCATTTCGAAATTTCATAAATTATTTCACACACACATATTGGACTCAAGTTGAACATTTGCTAATATTTATGTTTTTATCGATTTATGAATAACACCATAATTCATGTATAAATTTTCAGAATAGCTGCCTACTATATTATATAATTGCATACACAGATTATTATGAAAAATAGATGTGTTTTAATAAATGCTACATTTTTCAAATTGAAATAAATATCTAAGATATTCAAATTATTTATTGCACAAATATCTACTGTAAAAGTAAAACATCCACAAAATGATAAAAAACATTATCGTATATTTAATTTAGCAGAACTTTTAAAATTTGTATGAAAAATACAGCCAAAGAAATAATTTATTTCAGGAAATGAAGTTGAAATAACTTTGCCTCCATCCGGCTAAAGTACTCTCTTCAATCTTCGTTTCTTTAGAAAATATTAAGTATTATTTCATTATAACATAATTTACAACTGACGAAAAACTTAAGAGGTAATAATATTATTTTAAGATTTTGTTATTTCTAATAAAAGTTAAGATATTTTTAACATATAAGAAAAATATGTTAGTATTTCGAAGTTAATATCAATAACTTATAAACATTTAGCTATTATATTTTTAGATTTTCTTTCGTAGATTGATGTATGAATATCACGAATGTCATAATTCATCAACTATTTGCAAATTTAGTTGTAACAATGTACAACATTTAGGCTTACATATCGTGCGACATAAAGTGCACTCATGGTTTATTCCTCGACATCCCATAGCAATCACTATTGGTTTTCGATGAAATGACCGTACATGCACGTTATCGACATTGATGGTCGATAATCGAAAGCTTGTTCTTTGCAGGGTCGTTTACGATGCACTCACGAGACAAAGCAGATCAGCACTTCAATGAAAAAAGCTGATAACGATATTATTAACCTCCCATAACACTTTTAACATTTTTATTTAAAAAAATAGTCGGGCCACTCGTTCATTTTATTCATATCAAAATTTATAGATATTAATAAGGTCACGATCCTTTTATTAACAAGAAAAAATAAAGTAATAAATTTGTTTAAAGAAAAGATCTAAATAAATAGTAATACTCTCTCTCTCTCTCTCTATATATATATATAATATATAATATATTAAGATATATATAATAAAATTTAAACAACAATTTTTTTTAATAAATAGAAGAGCTATAAGTAAAACAAAAGATAGGAACGTTAGTGAACGAATCGAATACGTATTACGTTTTCGTATTTAAAGATATCATAATGGACATAAAACTTATAAATTTAGAATATCATAAATGTCACGTCGAGAAATTAAGTGTGCGAAGTAATCTGAGTTTTAAAGATGAGTGATTTTTCTCGCGTTCAATAGAAAATTAATTTCGATTCAGTGAATAGATATTGTGAAAAAGATTGTTCGAATGCAAATAATGCATAAAAAGAGATAAAATTATTCTGCTAAAACGATAAAAAGAAATAAAAGAATTATAAAAGATATTATTATGTAGAGTGTAATACATAGAGATTTATACATAGAGAGAGAGAGAGAGAGAGAGAAAGAGAAAATTTAACTAAAATAAATAATATAATAAAAAAAAATGTCTCCACGTCTTAAAATAATTAAAAAGAATAGAATAATATTTTGTATAAATCTTTATTTCCAAGAAGAATGATTTTGAAAATTATGCAATCCTTGCAACACTTGTTGAAATTCAGTCTATAGAAACGCGAATAAATATAGATTTCGTATTTACATAAAATGAAATAAGAAAATTCCATGTAATTAAACTCATTTGCAATTCTACTAAAGAAAATCATTAAATTTTTAATTTCACATAATGTTTACACTCTAAAAACCACTTATACTCTTAAAAAATTCATATTTTATTATATATTAATCGATTAATATAAATTAATTTAATTTTTTGGAACATTTTTTTGCATTATTTCATTAATCTTTAACACAGTAATCTAATTAAAGTTGAATAATGTCACTTCAATAAATACATTTAACTAACTTTGTTAAGAGGTAACTTTATAAAAATTTACATAACTTTGCAATATTCATAGCACGTAATTATATGGCAATGCCGAGATAAAGGGGTTAATTTGCCGTGTAAATCCGCATAAATTTAAAAAATGGATTCAATCTCCGGTTCAGCAAAATCATGTTGCTTCTATATCAAAGTTGTTTGATGTGAATTCTATATTAAAGTTACCTGACATGAAAAGACAAGTTTATGTGTAATGTAGTATGACAATTAAATTTGAAAACTATTTAACAATAAACTGTTAACCGTTAATTATAAAATAAAATACAAATTTAATATTCAAAAAATATAAATTGCTTTCAAATTATATTATATCAAAACCAAAGATTAAAAATAAATAGAAATAAAAAGATGTTTATCGATAAACAGATTTCTTATTATAAAATATTGCAAATTTTCTATCGTATTACTCATTATTTTCCTAAAGAATCATAAATTCTGCTAGATAATTTAAATCATAATGCTAAAAATATCCATCTATCAGTTAAAATAACTGCATTGAATAATTCTGAGGCGCGTTATGCATCTACGCAACTGCAAAAAAATATGCCCATCTTGGAAAAAGATCCGAATTCTCATAAAAAAATTAACGCGCCCGAGTAAAGTTACGACTAGAATTCGCACACGGGACCAGGTTAACCAACCTCTCGTCCCTGAACGATGACCTGGACAAATCGCTCCAGGCACTCATGCTCCGACTGCGTCTCCTGCAGGACTGCTGCGGCGTCAGCAGTCTGCTGCTGCTCCTTCGCCTGGTGGACGCCAGATTCTCTGCTTGGAAGTACACTCTGGGCGCCTTTTGCTGGCATGCGTTCGGTGGTGTCGAGGTCGGCGTGACCGCCGTCGAGGTGTGGAGTTCCGGCAGGGCCTCGTAGTCCCATGCTCTGGCGCCCATATCGAGCAGGGGCACCGACGAGGCGGCACCGGAGCCGCGTAGTGGGTCCCGAGGCTTCCGGTAGTGTAACAGGGCGAGGAACTTGCAACACGCCGACTCGTCCTCCCTCTCCCTCTTTTCTTTCTTCGCTGCCGGCAGCTTCACCGTGAAGCAATCGCAGGACTTGCGAAATCTGCCGACGATGCTCGGCCACATCGTCCCTTCGAACACATCGTCATGAATCTCCTTCGATCACTCGGCCGAATAGTTAGTTAATTTATTCAAGTACCAGCCGGCACGACGAATAAGTCCAGAGAAATGTATAAGTGTCCGTCAATGAGGGGAGAGTTTATCTTGAAAGACATCATCTTGGCGAGACGTTATCCATCACCGTGGTGATTAATTATAAAGGATACCGAACTATGTGTATCTTGTTCACTTTTTCTATAATATAATGTTGCTCCTTTCTTCCATTAGAATGTTAATGCTTACGTGACGTAATATTATCTTGAATATTCATTGAGCACTCGTTCTGAGTAATGCATTAATCTCGTAGAAGTATAATTTATTTCATTATGTAAATACATCTTTTGCATTCATTATGCTTAAAGACGTGTCGTCCTCAATAAGAATCCAAAACTTGCTTGATATCGTTATGATAAATTAATAAAATTCTTCCGCTTTCACGTTTTCAGAAGACTCGTGTTTCAAAAATGCCAAAGAAAAATTCGACAAGAATATGGCGCTGTTTGCGAGGTTGCGCAGAATAAGATTATGAAAAGAACCACTTTTCGTACCTTTTAAAGTCGTTTCGCTACTCGTAGAAGCTAATTACAGTTTAGGCAAAAAGTTTTTTTTATCTCAGTAACGAAAGCAATTAGAAACGCGCGACTGCAGGTAAAGCGAAAATAATTTGACGAAAAAGCTGTGAAAGTAATTTCATACGTTTCCCTTGTGTGCGATAAAAGGGACTCTCAAACGATCTGAATAATTTCGACTTTGTCTTCGATCTAATGAGTAAATTTGCGTCGGAGGGAATTCACAAACGGTTCCGCAAAGGTGAGAGAATTACCCATTTCTCAATTCCTCTATTCTTTGATATGATGGATATGATGGAAGACGATACTTGTGAATGCGGTAACTTTACGAGGTAATTTCACTTAACTATAAGTACCTTTTGCCTCTTTAAAAATATTGAAAATTGTTACCGCTATAATTGATATTATTTTATACGTTCTTAGGGTTCATAAAAACTCCCCGAAAACTACAGAACTCTGAGCATTAGTCTCTCCTATGCTAATTTATCTAATGATTATTAATAATATTGATAATCACTCTTAAAAGCTGTTTCTCAAAATTCTAAATTCTAACAAGAATTTTTAACAAGTTACTTGCAATACGTAATAATATTTCAATGTAACAAACAGGAGCTACCTAGGATATTTATTTTTCCCATTAAGGATATGAGGATAACGATCACCCAAAATGCATCAAAAAATATGAGACAATACCAATCCTGTTTTACTCGATCATTACTAAGCTTCGAGTAGCGAGAAAGACAGTTTCATGAAGTTGCACAACTACCTCCAACATTAAGTGACACTCGTGTTCAGCGACATAATTCAATATCAATAACAATAACGATTAATCGCAAATAACGGCGGAATCGTGTAAATTATACACAACAAGAAGCATATTCGACAACTCCTTCAGAATTGTTTTGTATTGATTTCACGGGATATTTCACGAGCAAATTTGACGTGAACATTTTTCACAATGTCAAATGTCATATTTTTAAGCATCGAAAGCTGGAAGAGTTTTTCAAACTTGTACGATTAACGAAGTTTGTCTTGACCTTATTACTTTATATGTCTATTATATGTCACAAACTACTTGAATTATTAACGAGTGCAACCACACGCACAACAAGACGCGTAAAAAGTGCGTAAAAGAACATTGGAACGCGGTAATACACTTCTCATTATCTTCCGAAAAAAGTATTTTGTTCGACCAAAGTGTCACTAAGATACTCTTCGAGATGATGAAATAATGTCTTATAAATGCACATCAACGCTCTGATTGATCGTGGCTACCGCCACCGCAACGGTGACCACATAAGCGTCTCGAGACACCTCGTTCGCACGGCACGTTTCCATGTGACCCGGATGACGTCACATGGTGTTCGAAGGTCACGGTTGACAGATCCTTGCAGTAACGGGAAGGCGCTGCTTTGCAAGTTCCGTGAAATCGAATCTTAACATGCCGATGATATTACATCGGTTCACTTAACGAACTCATTAAAATGCCGCTCGTATCTATATTTATCTATATGCCGCCCTATATTTTAACCTCAGTTTTTCAGAGCGCCCTTTAAATTTCATTCATTTCTGTAATCGCTCTAGTCGTTTGTACACTTGCGCAAACAGCAGCAGAATCTATAAATCACCTGCTCTTTTTTGCCTCTTAGAACTCCGAGATTCAAGATGCGGTAAAAACAACACCGTTGCCCCAGATACTTTAAAACCTTGTCGAGGCAACAAGACAAACAGGATCACATAGGATCACAGCAGAGCATCTGATTCCTTATATCTTCATATAAATCATGTTCAGAGCACTATAAAGCCACTCGTTTTTTTTTTCTAGAATCTGCTTTTTGTTAACAATGAAAGCGCGCTCTGTTTGATTAAGTTTTTTTTTTTTTTTCACACAAATAACGTCTCCGAACTTTGCAATAATTTTTCACGCTTCGTAAATATCCCTCGAAATTCACACATGTCAATCAAACGTCCAGTCATTTAAATTCTTCACGAATCGAATTCCTGACGTTGACGTGGGAACGTCCAATTCTCCGCATATTTATTTCCCGCAGAGTATTTTCCGATATTCATCAATAACAAGAATGTTGAGACTTCATGTCCTCGTTTAGATATCAATAAGCTGCGATACTCGACACAGGTGGTAGCGTCTCACGAGAATAATGTTCCATTGTCGGTTCTAGAAGCAGTTGAGGGAGGATCGTTATCCACCTCATCGTCCTCCGATTCGCTGCACTCGGGAACAGGCGCCTGCATTGTCAAGATCTCAACAATATCAGGATACGATAAAATTAGCCTGCTTCGCAATTTACGGGCCAAGTTTCTGAGAAAAGGACGAAGAATCTCCGGCGCTGCAACACTCGCGATATTTGCTAACCGGTGTACGCTAATCGTCCCACCAACTGCCGTTTGCCACCGTCTGCCACCGATGTGGGATCTAACGGGTGTCGCATCGTGTAAGGGCAAAATGCCGCATCGTCCTTGACATTCGACGTACGCGTCACTCCTGAAGGAAGTCTTAATCACACCCGGAAGAGGTTCTAGAGCAATTTCGGCAAGCAGTCGAACGATGAATCTAACTATTGTCGCCGCCTCGCACACGATCGCAGAATGAATGAGACGTAAAACAGACACAGGGGAAACCGAAACACTCTCATGAACAATGTGTTTCTCATAAAGAATGAAATGGCGGAGAGCGAACAACCGGTCGTATTATCTCAAGCGATGGCGGCTTTTTCGCCGCGTGAGAGAGGAGGCTAGCTCGCAGCTCACTATCCCGTACTGCGGTACACGCTAGCGGTTTTCACTCGCATGCCACCCCCTCGCCGCCGACCTTTCAGCCCCCGTGTTCCACCCTTTCTCTCTCGCTAACACCATCAAGCGAGCTCTCACGCCCTCCCTCTCTCTCTCCCGCTCATCCTCTCTCTTTCTCCGTCTCTCTCCTCCCACTATTCTCGCGGGGGTAATCGCTGTTTATCTCACTCGCTCCTCAACGTTGTCTACCTTCCCCTCTTCACCGCGTCCGTCGTCGCCGACGTCGTCGACGTCGTGAAAGGGCGCGCATACACGCACGTGGCGCCGCCGTTGTCAAGGCGACTGCGCCACTTTGGGATACATCGAGGATCTACTATATCTCCCATCATCTCAACGTGATGCTCCTGTCATGTCCAAGTTTCTCACGGACCACTCTCCTAAGTGACGGATGCTTGCGGAGCATCTGAATGAATGGTAATGCTCACGCGATTTATCCACCCTTCGAAGATGATCGTGTTCTTAGTTTCTTCGTCGTCTTATCTCTTGAAAAGACGGATCACCATCTAAAGATATGCAGATATCTCGTCGAAAAAGAACTCACGTTTTCGTAAATCCGTTTTTTTTTCCTCCATAAACTTTTATCGTTATTATAAAAAAAAAAAATAATGCAATGTGATTACAAAAGACTGCATTTAATTTTTTCGTAAATAGAATCATTTACGTTAGCGACTTTTAACCAAGTACTTGTTGTTAACAATACATAGCATTGCTCTATTATTTTTTAATATTTTACTAATTAAATTATCTAATATTTCATTTGTTATTTATATCTCCTAAATTTTGCGAGTTAAATTCTTTAAATGAGAATCCCTGTTCTAATGGGAAAATAATCTGCGCTCTGTTGAAGATTTGCGCACTTTTCGAGAGCAGTATGTTATTTTAGTATAACGTAATAGGATGAATGGATAGCTCGGAGAGACAGCATCGATTCGCACCGGGAGCCAAGCCAAACTTGCGTGACGGGCTTGCGCTGTAACGCGAGCGGAAACCTCGGATTCTCCAGTGTGCCACGTGGTTTACCCTGAGCTTGCGTAATAAAAAGTATGCGCGAGACTGAGATTTGTAATGAGAGCTTCTCATGCTATTTATAATCTCACGCCATTTTAATGAAACCTCATGCTTGTAGCACGGAATGTTTTTTGTAAAAAGTTTCAAACGTAAAAAATTAGATGTCACGTATAAAAGAATTATTTGAGTTCGTAATACGAAAAAAATTTTTAATATATATATAAATTTTTCTTTTTTTGTTAATATAAATACAAATAAAACTTATTATTTCAAATAAATAAATTTTTTAAATTTATTTTTATTTAAGAAATAAAATAGCTTGTCAAAATAAAGTTTAACAAAATTGCGAAAAGTACTATATAAAATGTAATCATCACATTGGCGCTCCTCTTTTCATTTAATTCGATTTTTATCAATTCTTTGATAAATTTAAAATAGAATTTTTAATCTAAATAATAAATTTGTTTAAATAAAAATTCTTAAATTGTCGATCGCAAATTATTAATAGATAAAATCATTTATGTCACGATTGTTTTAATAAAAAAATCGCTTTAAGATGATTAAAGAAAATCATAAGTAAAAAGTGCAATAAATTTAAGTGCTTTGTACATTAAAATTGTTAAAACACAAATCTCCAATTATCATATACGTATATGTATATGCAAATAATAATGTGATCGATCACTGATGTAGTCAATAAGATTTGGAAAATATACCTTTGCACACATAAGATTTCATATACTAATGCAAAGATAAATAACAAACGCGCAGAATATACACAGCTTCATTTCGAAAATATATTGTTCCTCTGTTGCACATCCATTTTTTCTGACAGCAGATAAACTACATCAATTGCGCTAATGGAAAAGCAAGGTTATTCTTATACATGAGATGTATAGCTTCAATGATACAAAATAAATCTTCAAAATTGATCGGCTATAAACGATTTAACAGCTACACCGATGCAATGTTATTTTACTTTATTGTATGCAATACTGCCCATATAAAAATAATATTTGAACAAATACTGTGATAGCACATTTTGCAGATTTTTCTACAAATTTATTATTACTAGTTTAATATAATGCATGAAGCATGATAGAAGCATAAAACTGAAAATAAGATTGAATAAGCTAAAAATAACGTAAAACTTTTAACTTGCAAATAATATAACATAATTACCAATAATTTATTTTTTTATTTTGATTTATTTTTTATTTTGATTCATAGAAACAATATTTTCCATAAATTGTTTATACCATACAACAAAACATTAGTTTACTACCAACTACTGTAATTACACAGCTGTAATTACACGAACTTTTATCGCTAATTACAGAATACAAGGCATTTATACGTAATATATAAGCAATGCTATTCAGGATTTAATTATCCCAAGCAACTGGAAGCAATTCAATGCATGATAAATTTGGTTTCTATATAGTAAGTCGCTTTCTGCGTAAAGGGATTAGTAAATCTGAATTTCATTAATAACTTCATGATTTCACGTGCAACATAAAAGCAACAATTTGAGAAAAAAGGACCATCTTAATGTCGAAATTTATTTAACTCAATTCACGGTTAGTAATAAACATTCACAAAGAAAAATTTATATATGAAAAATTTATAAATAAATACTGAAAAATACACAAAGTTAAAAAAATAAATAAAAAATAATTATTTAATCAGGGACTTGCAACTGTATCTATTGATCAAAGATATTTTATATTAGAAGCATAATATTTAGCAACAATCGGCGTAATTATGATTATATAATTTAGCAAAGTATGTGATGAATAATTCATTAAAATTTATTTGAATTTTTATGATCTTTTAAACGTCCCCGTAAGATTAAATGGTACAATATAATAAAACTTTTAGCAGACTTTCTCAAAGATACTAAAAATTGACGCATTTCATGAATAACAAAGTGAATTGCGCGAGATTTGACTAAAAACTCGGGTCTTCTCGAGAAAACTTGAACCAAGGCTCTCATGGGAAGAAACCTTTTTGCTAAGTGTCTTGTAATGACATGTTTTTTTTATATGACACTTCAATGTCAACAATTGTTCTAACATGTAACATTTAAAAAAATAAGTTAAGATAAATCAGTTAAAGTTATTCAGTTTTCAAAAGCAAATAATAATAAAGTAAGCAATAAGAATCACAGATGTGCAGTTGTCGGAGTGCAAAAACTATTATTAATGCAGTTATCAATTTTTTTATACCGATTAATAATAATTCTTCGTTTTTGTCCTTTAACAACTGCGTTTCTGATTCTTAATATATTCTTTATCATTACAAACAATTTATCTAACGTGCCTTACAATGAAAATATGAGCTTTTATGTGAAGGAAGCGCAATCTAGGAATCAGCAGGAGCTTTCATGGTAATACTATAAGGCCAGAGCTTAACCGTGGAAGCTCCAGCGGATGTTGAGCAGTCGATAAGGCAGAAGAGCTTTTATATCGCATCTCCTTTCGAACTGGGTGACAATGCGCCTGTTGTTGACCTACAAAGCATGTGTTTAGTGCTGCTATTTTCACGAGAAAGTCACGAGCTTCCATGAATTACTTCAGTTAATACATATGTACTAAGAATGCTTCATCTTTAGAAAGATGCCGCAAATAAACTGAAGAGCATATTCATAAGTTAGAATAGCATCGCAAGTGTTAAAAAATTATTGCGGTTCCAAAACTTTCTACCTTATCAACGTTGAAAGCATCAAAAAAGAAAAAAAAAATTAGATATAAGAATCAATTAAATGTGCGAACGAAAGCATTTTCGATTTATATCATGTTAAATTAATCAAATTTTATGGAATAAAACTGCAAAATGTATTCTTTTCCAAATATCGTAATATTTTTATAATATTTATGCATATATTACTATTATATATGAACAGCACTACGGAATAATTTTATCAATATCTAATTCATCCAATTTCTCTTTATCTAATTTTTTCTTTGATTTATCCTATAAATCATATTTTATCTTATGTATAAGTACGAAAAGTTTGAATTTTGCATATAAATGTGGATAAAAGCAAGTAGAAAAAGCAAAGCACTAAAAACTTGTTAAACAACACAATTGTCAATTACTCCTTAAAATCTTTGAAATATTAAGCAAATGTCAGAATGCGTGAATAATCATGGAAATACTAATCTCGTACAATATTAGAATCATTATGTTCGAGCACGCAAAGCTTCGAGATTGCTGCATTACAATCTTGCATAAACGTGTTTATTTAACCGTTGACAATATCAGTACCTGTTTTATTATTCCATTACTCATGCTTGCGCGGAGTTGTAAAGATAAGCTTATTGTCGATATGGGAATATGGTAACGCGATAAACGAGGCGGAAACTCGATAGCGAAGAGGATTGTATGATACGATTAAGTGTAAGTGATTCTTCACTACTGATATCAAAATTTATCGAATTCGTATTGGTAATATGCAAATGTCACAGTGATTGATATAGTTCTCAATAATCGTAATTAATATGCAATTAAAAATAAATCCAATCATGTTGATTGATTGTAAGCAATTAACAAAGCCTTTCTATATAAAAAATTTATTTTGATATATAAAGTGCAATCAAAAATTTTTTAATGCATTTGTTAATGTTATTCAAAAATTCTTGAAATAATAAACGCAACTGCAATTTTAACAAAAAAATTGTTTAAATTAAATTAAACTAATTGTCGAAATATTAAACATTAAAAATTTTAAACTAAATAATTTATATAATATAAGCTTAAAACAAAATCTTCAGTAAAAAACCTAATTCCGAATTTATTGAAGAATTTATAGTCCAAAGATTATATATATTACATATCTATGTGTCTAAAGAACGTATAGACGACAGCATTAATAAAAGTCACTTAGTACATATCAATGTCGTATCATATATTAATGTCGTATTTCTAAAGAAAGTAT